TTGAAAACATTTTTGAAAGACATTAGAATATGTCATGGTTTCGTAGTTCTGTATCTTTTCAGATAGGATTCCCACTACACATACCGAGGGTGAGAAAAGGTGATTTTTTTCAAGTTTTAACAAAAACACTATGTACCGTATTTAGAACAAACAGTTTTTAGTAGGAGGAATAGGTATGAATTTGGGACTTTTTGAGGGACTGAAAATAGAATTTCAATTTTAAATTTCCATCATTGACATTATCATGCAAATTGACTGTAAATTGAGATTAATTTCTTTGTATTCATTTTGCATAAAAACGCTATATCAAATATAGTTTGGAAAAACCCCAAATTGTTGATTGAGTTAATGCACTATACTGCTCTGTTTCTTGCAGTTTGATGTTTGGAAGTCAATTGGATATCCATTCAGGTGGGATTGATTTAGCTTTTCCACATCATGAAAATGAGATTGCCCAGTGTGAAGTCTTCCATCAATGCAAGCAATGGGGAAATTATTTTCTGCATTCTGGTAAGTAATGACTTCACGTTAGTTTGTTCTAGTTGGAGTCTGTCTTTATTGACTACATTAGGAAATACATCGATAAATGAATAATAGATTAAGAAGTAGAGTTGTCTCTTAAATTACTCTTGAATTTTTGTTAGTTGAACATGAACTTCTCAGATTAGAATCGTGGACCTGTGTAATAGAATATTTTTTAAATGACTTCAGTGAGCCCATCGTATTTCAGCTGCCAAGTGCCCACTCTTCACTTAAGAAATCATGTGAAATAAGGTCTGTTCACCTTTGACCCAAGTTTTATTCTCACAGAATCCAAGTTTTATTCTCACAGAATAAATGTAGATAGAGCCAGTTGCAGGAAATCATCATAAGCCTTTGATCTGAAGAGCTGTACCTTAGTAGTAAATATTTGTCCTTGTGTAAGATTTAGTAAGACAGTTTGCCTTAAATACTATCTGAGACTTTATAGCATAATTCTTCCACATAATTATGCTATAATTTTTTATAGCGTAATTCTTTAATTGTATATTGATTAATTCTCTTGGGTAGGTTAGGGTTTATTAACTAAATGAAATCCAGTAAGCCCTTTAGTAAATGTGGATTCAGGGATCAAAGAAGACAACAGTAATATCTCTGGGGCTGACTGTGGAACCTGATCATCAATTACTCATATACAAGTTCAAGCTGAAGCTGAAGAACATTAAAACAAGTCCCCGAGAACCAAAATATGACCTTGAACTTATCTCACCTGAATTTTGAGAACATCTCAAGAACAGATTTGATGCATTAGGTACTAATGACACAAGCTGAGAAGATTTGTGGGATGACAGCAAGAACATAAATAAAGAAAGCAAAAGGTCATTAAGAAGACAAGAGAGAAGGAAAAGACCAAAATAGATGTCAGAAAAGACTCTGAAACTTGATCTACTGTGTAGAGATGCTAAAGTGAATGGAAGAAATAAGGAGGTAAAAGAGCTGAACAGTATTTCAACGGGCAGCTAGTAAAGACAAAAGTCAAATGTTATAATGAAATATGTAAAGACCTGGAGTTGGAAAACCCAAAGGAAAGAACACAATTAGCGTTTCTCAAGCTGAAAGAACTGAAGAAAAAATTCAATCATTGACTTGCGATATTGAAGGATTCTATGATCACTAACAATTGGAATGATCTCAAAGGCACTTAACAACAACAACAGTGTGCAAAATACAGAATTATGCAGGAAGCATCAAAAGAAGATGGAAGGGGCATACAGAGTCACTATACTAAAAAGAAGTATTTGATGTTCAATCATTTCAAGGGGCAGCATATGATCAAGAGCCAATGGTACAGTAGACATTGGCAAACAATAAGACTCCAGGAATTGATGGACTACAAATTGAAACCTTTCAACAAACAGATGCAGCAGTGGAGGCCCTAACTCATCTCTGCCAAGGAATTCGGAAGACAGCTCTCTGGCCAACTGATTGGAAGAGATCCTTAATTTGTGTCCATTTCAAAAGAAAGGTGACCCAATAGAATGCAGACATCTTCAAACCATATCAATAATATCACATGCAAATGAAATTGTGCTGAAAAAAATTCAAAAACAGCTGCAACTGTACATTGACAGGGAACTGCTAGAAACTTAACGCTGGATTCAGACAAGCCTATGGAACGAGGCATATCATTGCTGGCAATGATGGATCCTGGCTGAAAGCAGAGAATATCAGAAAGATGTTTACCTGGCTTTATTGACTATGCAAAGACTTTCGACTGTGGATCATCGCAAGCTATGGGTAAGAATGGGTATTCCAGAACATTTAAGTGTGCTCATGAGGAACTTGTAAATAAGCCATTAGACAGTTGTTTGACTAGAACAAGGGAATCCTGAATGATTTAAACTCAGGAAAGCTGTGTGTCAGGGTTGTATTCTTGCACCATGCTTTTTCAGTCTGTACACTGAGCCGGTAATCTGAGAAGCTGGATTCTGTGAGGAAGAACGTGGCTTCAGGATTAGAGGAAGCATCATTAACAACCTGCAATATGCTGACGACACAGCCTTGCTTGCCGGAAGCAAAGAGGACTTAAAATACTTACTGATGAAGATCAAAGACCACAGCCTTCAATATGGATTGCCCCGCAGTGTAAAGAAAATAGAAAGCCTCACCACTGGACAAGTAAATATCATCATGATAAATTGGGGAAAAAATTGAAGTTGTTGAATATTTCATTTTGCTTGGATCCACTATCAACACTTAGGTAAGCAGCAATCAGGAAATCAAGCAGTGTAGTGTTGTTGTTGTTAGGTCCCATCCAGTC